TGTACCATAGTATTTGTTTAATCGATCAATTTGTTTTTCATTGTTATTTCTGTTTGCATTTGTTGGGCTACTAGGGAATTTGAGCATTTTTTCTACTTTTTTTGGTTATTTGTATATTTTTGATTGTGAATTTCCTGTTTATATCTTTTCTCTATTTTCCTCTTGAGTTCTTTGTCTTTTTTTATCAATTTATGATCTCTTAGAATACTAGAGGCTTTAATTTCATGCCAGTTACCTGAAACAAATAAAATTACTACTAAAACTCAGATATAAAATATATACATTGACTGTTATGTAGAATTTTTTAAATTTACCTTTATTGGTACATTGTAATTATACATAATTGTCATATTCATTATGCCATTTTCATACATGCACAGAACATATTTTGATCAATCTTATTCCTCTGTACCTTCCTTTTCACTGCCCTCCTCACCCCCATTCCCGTGATCCCCTTGCTTTAATCTACTGGTCTCCCTTCTGTCATCATTATTATTTTAATTAGTGCATTATAACTATATATAAATACAGGATTCATTATGGCATACTCATATATGGATATACCAAAAGTTGGCAGATTTCATCCCCAGTATTTCTTCATGTTCTCCCTTTATTCCTTCCTCTCTACCCCTTGTTTGAATCTATTTTTGTGGGATTCTTTTTGTAAAATTCCTTTTACGATGAACATTTTTTCCCATATTTGTTGACCATTTGTATTTCTTTTTTTTAATTGATTTTATTTTTTAAATACATGACAGCGGAATGCATTACAATTCTTAATACACATATAGGGCACAATTTTTCATATCTTTGTATATAAAGTATGTTCACGCCAATTCATGTCTTCATACATGTACTTTTTTGTTATTTTTATTTTTTTTTGCATTACAATTCTTATTACACATATATACCACAATTTTTCATATCTCTGTTTGTATATAAAGTATGTTGACACCCAATTCAAGTCTTCATACATGTACTTTGGATAATGATGTCCATCACATTCCACCATCCTTGCTAATACTCTGCCCACTTCCTTTCCCTCCCACCCTTCTTCCCTGGCTAGAATTCATCTAATCCTCCCATGCTCCTCCTCCCTACCCCTCTCTGAGTCAGTCTCCTTATATCAGAGAAAACATTTGGCATTTGTTTTATTGGGACTGGCTAACTTCCCTTAGCATTATCTTCTCTAGTGCCATCCATTTACCTGCAAATGCCATGATTTTATTCTATTTTATTGCTGAGTAATATTCCATTGTGTATATATGTGACATTTTTTTATCCATTCATCTACTAAAGGGCATCTAGGTTAGCTCCACAGTTTAGCTATTGTGAATTGTGCTGCTATAAATGTTGATGTGGCTGTGTCCCTGTTTTTAAAGTCTTTTGGGTATAGTCTTAGGAGAGGGATAGCTGGGTCAAATGGTGGTTCCATTCCCAGGATCCCAAGGAATTTCCATACTGCTTTCCATATTGGCTGCACCAATTTGCAGTTGTATTTCTTCTTTTGAGAAATTTATGTTAAGATCATATTCCCATTTATTTGTTGGATTATTTATATTTGGTGGTAAGTTTTTTGAATTCTTTATATATGCTGAATATTAATTCTCTGTTAGAAGAGTAACTGACAAAATTTTTCTCCCATTCTGTAGGTTTTCGTTGGTAGAAGGCTCATTATCATAAAATTTTTAAAAAGACAAACATTTTCTTTATGCCAACTAAGCTCAAGCTAATGCATAGTGAATAATATTCTTTTATCTGATCCTTTCTGTTTTAAACCAACGGTTTAAACTATTATTACAGTGCTGTATTTCTTTTCCCTGAGAAAATAGAAACAATGTCTGGTAGTATTTTTTTTTGCATCTTCTTAATAATAGAGCTACCTGAAAAAAATAGGAAATATTATCCCCAGAGATTTCATGGGAAATTGTACTGTAAAACCTTTCAATCTCAAAACATTACAGATGGAGCTTATGCCTAGAATTCTTTCTCAAATCAAATACTAAGGAACTAAGAAAATTTCTTCTCATGGCTATGAGGCAAAGTAAATTCCAGAGCTCCTTCTGAGCAGCTACTTCTTATTTGGTACTGTTCTACTACACACATCAGTAGCCTGATTTACAGCTACAGTTTTGAAATATAATAATGTTCAAATAGTTGACCAAGAAGATTGTGCTGTTGCATTATTTGTTAAGTTTATTGCATATAATGGAAAATACAAATTAATAGTAACTTAAATACTTTATCATTTATTTTATCAGGTAGAAGAAGCTTAAAGATATACAGTCAATCCTTGCTGGATATAATATCTATTAGGGTCCTAGGACCTGAGATTTTCCTTCTCTTTCATGACATCCATTTTCAAGGGTTCAAGTACTTGCTGTTAGTGCTCCTCATTTTACAAAGCAGTAGGAAGCAAAATATATACAGCTTGCTCTAATGGCATCAGAAACCTTGAAGGGAGTCTTCATAGAAGTTGCTTAAATTTCACTGGCCAGAGTTTAGCCAAGTTCTGGAAGGTTGGGAATATTGTACTAAATTTTCAAAATATTTTATTTAAAATACACAGAATGAGAGAAAATCTTTCATCTACTCTTCCAATAGAGAATTAATGTGCAGACTTTATACAACAAAAAGCTCAACCCCCCAAAACAAACAACCCATTAAATAAGTGGGCAAATGAACTAAACAGACACTCTCAAAAAAAGTAGAAGTGGCCAACATCTATAAATATTTTTAAAAAGTTCTATATTTGCATTTATATAGAAATATAAAAATGTTCAACATTGTTGGCCATTAAGGAAATGCAAATCAAAACTACATTGTGATTCCATCTCACATCAGTCAACGGCAATAATCAAGAATACAGATAGCAATGAATGCTGTTGAGAATGTAAGGGAAAAAGGAACTCCTATACACAGTTGGTAGGAATGTAAATTAGTACAATCACTGTGGAACTCAGTATAGATGTTCCTCAATAAACTACAAATCGAACTACCATATGACCCATTTGTACCACTTCTTGATATTTATCCAAAAGAATTAAAGTTAGCATATTTTAGAGATGTATGTATAACCATTGTTTATCCCAGCACAATTCACAATAGCTAAATATGGATCAGCCCACATCTCTGTCAATAGGAAAATGGATGAATAAAATGTTTATCTATCTACCTACCTACCTACCTACCTACCTATCATGGGTTTTATTCGGCCATAAAAAAGAACAAGATTATGTCATTTGTTAGGAAAATGGATGAATCTGAAGACCATCATATTAAGTGAAATAAATAAGATTCAGGAAAACAAGTTTCATATGTTTTCTCTCAAATAGGGAAAGATAAAGAAAATAAAAGATGTCATGAAAGTAGAAGAGAGAGTGTTGAGGTACAGAAAGGACAGAAGTTGGAGGCAGAAGGAGAAGATAAGGGGTGGTAATGGGGAGTAAAACTGATCATATTATATTATGCACATGTGCAAATACGCCACAATGAAACTCACCATTCTGTATAATTAATATGCATCAATAAAAAAATCAACGAAAACATTAAATAGTGCAATTGTCTAGAATAACACACTAGAAAGTTTCTCTAGCATTGGTTCCCTGTTTATGCCTAATGTATTGTCAATGTCATGTACTAACTGCATCTTAATTTGAGATGAACTTGTAGCTTGTGAGAGAAAGTTTGCAATATGTTTTGTTTACTAATCAGTATTTTAGTCTTTACATAAAATTTAAGTGTGATTTTTTTTGAGTTAGTGTTTTAATAATGTGCCCAGGCTGGCCTCACTCAAATTCATTATCCTTCTTTCTTAGCCTCCTTAGTAGCTAGGATTATAGGCATGTACCAGCATGCCCAGCTTAAATGTGGTGATTTTTTTTTTTCCAGTTTTTGTTTCTGTTTTTGGTACTGGAGAAAACCCAGGGCCTCATTGATGCTTGACAAACACTCTACCACTGAGCAACATCCCCAGACATTTTCTAATTTTTATTTTGAGTCTGGATCTCCCTAAATTGCCCAGATTGGCCTTGAACTTGCAATTCTCTTGCCTTTGTCTTCTGAGTAACTGGAATTATGTGCTACTATGTTTGGCAAAGGTGATGTTTTTTAAATAATGTGTTTACTATCTTCCAGAGAACATAAAAATTACTCACTCATATGGAAATGAAACAGCAATCAAGGGAAGAGCTCTGTAGTTAAATTGAGATGAATAACACAATGATACTAATAGCTAATATTGGTCTTTCATTTTGTTTAATTGGCCAGAGAAAAATTTTAAATGAGTAAACTATGTACATAATGAAATATATATCATTGCAGTGAGAAAAAAAAGCATTGCATTGAAAACTGTAGCAAGTTGTGTGTTAGAGAAAAAAAAATCAGACAGGTTGAAAAGATTTTGATATGATATATCTTTTTTTATTTTAATTTTTTAAGTTGTAGACAAATACAATACCTTTATTTTATTTATTTTTATGTGGTGCTAAGGATCAAACCCAGTGCCTCACACATGCTAAGTGAGTACTCTACCACTGAGCCACAACCTCAGCCCCAATACAATGGATCTTAGTGAGGTGTGAGAACTTCTGTACTCCCTGGCTCTCTACTATTCAGGACTGCTTCCTTTTCAGAGAAGGTGCAAGTTTTATTTTAGAAGTAAATCCTATAGCAGTGAACCGCTCTTTTTCTGTTATAATTGTTCCAGTTTAAAAGCAAAAGCCAGTTTAAACTATCCATTAAATCAAAGTTATTATGCTCTTCTACTTCACAGAGAAATTTCACAATATTATATTATGTCCCTATTGAATTTTACTATATACATTACTTTTAAATTTAGAAAATCTCATGTTATTGAATATTTAATTTTATGGAACATACTTTATAATGATAAAATGTAGATATATGCTGTCTTTGAGAAAGGCTCAATTAGCAAAAATCTTTTGTATCAAACAAGCTTGATCTTATATTATCATGTTCTTTTTTTTTATCTCTTGCAGAAAATTACGTTTGGTTGATATAGAAGAATTTCACAATCGCCAGGATGCCTTAGAACTGTCAACTTTTCAGAATATTATCATGAAACACTTGGAATCTGCCAAAGAGACTCTGTTTAAAATGTAAAGTTTTGCAATATCATATAGGAAAACATAAGTTTATAAATGTGATTGATGGGGAATTACTTTTTAACTGCTTTTAGAAAATCCCATTTCAACAAGTTTTACATAATTTCCATTAGAGAATTAATAGGTCTTTAATTGCCTTAGTCTATCCAGATATTCTACACTGCATAGATTGCACAGAAACTAAAATGATCATAACTGATAGTTGCTTTTTTCTAAATATCTGATTTCTGCCTCTGCTCTGAGAGTGTGTTGGAAACCATGCAGGAATGATCATGAACTAATCATTTACCAGATAGTTTTCTGCATCTACATGCAAAGTGCTGTGTCTCTTCCATTTTGATTTTGGATGAAGGATGCAGAAGAGTTTAAAGAATGACTCAGAAGGAAAAGTTTGTTGCTTAAATGAGTTTACAATCTCAATGGAGGTTAGATTTAGATTTATCAAATGATAATCAAACAATTCCTTGGATAGTCCCTTCAATTTGGAATAGCCACATATGATAATTAATGATGTTTTACTCAGTAAAACATGGGAAATAGCCTCTCTCATGGATCATATTTATAAGAAATAGATATTAAGATTAGGTCAATTTTCAAATATCACATGAAACTTATAGTGTCATTATTTCCAAAAGTTACTTAGAAAGGTGAGTTGATCATTTTAAAATTAACTTTTTAAAATATTACTTTGGAAGAACTTTAACCTATTATTTTATATTATATTTATTTAAAACAGAGGAGAGGTGAAAAATAAAACTGCATAATTAGTTGCAGAGAAGAAAATGCCCTCTTAAGAATGTGATGCAAATAAGTTATCTTAATCTATGACTGCAGGGTTATACCCTAGAAATACATTATCACTGTAAATTTTAGTAAAATGCATGTCAAAGTACAGAGGAGAGTGCAAACCCTTACTGAATAATTGTCTCTGTGAAATGTAGATTGATTAGCTTTATCTCTTGATGCTTCCTGATTGATCTAGGGGAAGAACTCTCTGACCACACCTTAGTGAGCCAGAATGGTTTTATCATGCCTAAAAGGCAGAACATCAGCCCACAGTGGAGACACAGTTAGCAAATAATTAATTATGACATCTACACCAAACCCAAAGGAATTTTCTTAGCCCTTATCTTTCACTTCTACTCAGCAGTTGCCATAGGTGGATACACAGTTTTCTGGAACTATGTGTTTTCCTGTGCGCTTATCTGTTCTTCTCCACTGTCTCATTTTTCTATCAACTTAATCTCACTATCTCCTAAAAGTCCCCAAGTCCTTTTTCTTTTCTTTTTTTTTTTTTGGTCTCTCTCTTATTTATATTCTTTTGACAATTTCATCCTTCTCAGCTGTCTAAAGATCTTGTTTTCTGAGCTCTTGGTCCTTCTTAATAATTTTATACTGAATATCTCAGTTGAATATCATGTCAGTACCTGAATCTCAGCATGTTCATAACAATGCTTATCCTCTTTCTTCCAAACCTATTCTTCCTCCTCTGGATCATTCCTAGGGCAACTTGAAAATCTTGTGACTTTTTTTTTTTTTTTTTGGTCTCTTTTGCTGATTGTCTTTACCCTCACACCTTCTCCCTACCCCAGCAACATCCTATTTTTAATTTTTTTCTATTTTTAAATTTTCCTATTTTTAATTTTTTAATTGTTTTTTTTCTTTATTTGTTCTTTTTAGTTACACATGACAATTGTATGTATTTTGACATATCATACATACATTGAATATAACTTCCCATTATTGTTGGTTGTACATGATGTGGAGTTACCATAGTCATGTTCATATATATGAACATAGGAAAGTTATATCTGATTCATTCCTCAGTCTTTCCTATTTCCATCTCCCCTTTCTTCCCTCTACTCCACCCTGTCCAATCTGGTGAACCTCCCCTCATCCCTTCCCCCTCCCCCCAACCCATTGAGAGTCAGTATCTGCATATCAGAGAGAGCATTAATCTTTGTGTTTTTTTGGAACTGGTTTATTTCACTTAGCATATGGTCCCTATTTCCATCCATTTTCTAATAAATGCTATAATTTTGGTTTTTTTATGGCTGAGTAACATTCCATTGTGTATATATAATTCATTTTCTTTATCCACTCATCTGTTGAAGGTCACCTAGGTTAGTTCTATAGCTTAGCTATTATGAATTGAGCTACTATGAACATTGACGTGGATGTGTCACTATAGTATACTGATTTTAAGTCCTTTGGGTATATGCCAAGAAGTGGGATAACTGGTTCTATTCCAAGTTTTTTGAGAAAATCTCCATACTGCTTTTCAGAATGGTTACCTAAATTTGTAGTCCCACGAGCAACATATGAGTGAACCTTTCCCCCCACATTCTCGCCAACATTTATTGTTACTTGTATTCTTGATAATTGCCATTCTTCCTGGAGTAAGATGATATCTCAGTGTAGTTTTAATTTGCATTTTCTAATTGCTATATTCTACCCATGTCCTGTCTGGGTGGTGGGAATGGGGTTCCCCTTGGCAGAATGAGTTGGCTGAGAAATAAAAAGCTAAGAGAAGTAAAATGATGAAAACAAAACAAAACAGAACAAAAACACAGAACACAGAAAGTGGTTTCAAAAGCAGGTGCAGGATGGTCAAGCTGATCCGATGGATCGAGCTCTGGCCAAATGGAGCCTGCGCCTGCTCTATTTAGATCAGGAAACATCAAAGACATTCTATAGAATGTTTTTTTCCAAAAAAGGTTAAAGTTGGGCTGTTTAGTTCCTAACAAGTTACGCCCATCTTTAGAGCTACTATGAGGAATCTTCCTAGCAGAGTGGAGAGAAAGGTCATGTGCATTGGGCCATCTATTGAGGTGGGACAGCCACAGAAAGTTCCCAATGCCAGACCTATTTCTCCCTGGCTTCCATGCCGAGAGAAGATCCACGTGTATTTCAGAGATGGCTCCTTGCAGCTAGAGATATTGAACATTTTTTCATATATTGTTTGATGGCTCATATTTCCTCTTCTGTGAAGTGTCTGGTCAGTTCCTTTGCCCATTTATTGACTGGGTTGGTTTTTCTGGTGTCCTGTCCGGCAGGACGAAGGGAGGAATGAAGGGACAAGAGACATGAAAGGTGACAGCAAGACAAAAGTTCTGATCAAGCTGCAAACATTTATTGTTCACACAGGGTATTTATATGCTGGGATGGGGAAGCTCTCTAATCAGCAATTGCTGGGTGGGTATTCATATGCTAGGGATGGGGAAGGTCTCTGCAATTGCTGGATGTGGGTGGGTATTCATATGCTGGGGATGGGGAAGGTCTCTGCAATTGCTGGATGTGGGTGGTAAAACTGCCAGCTGCAAGATGTCTGATGATCCAGATAACCGCAGGATGTTCCAGGGAGATAGGTAGCTGCAGGATGCCTTCAGGGCAGAATGTCTCCCAGGGGGCTGTCAGGCTAATCTTTGAAGGAGAATTTCCTTCTAGTTCCCAACATTTTGGTGTTAAATTTTTTGAGTTCTTTGCATATTCTGGGGATTAATGCTCTACCTGAGGTGCAGTTGACAAAGATTTTTCCCCATTCTGTAGGCTCTCATTTCAGGTTCTTTATTGTTTCCTTTGCCATGAAGAAGCATTTTAGTTTGATGATATCATTTATTGATTCTTGACTTCTTACACTTTAGAAGTCTTATTGAGAAAGTCTGTCCCTAAGCCAACATGATGGAGATATTTGGGCTTAACGTTTTCTTCTAGTGGGTACAGGGTCTATGGTCTAATGCCTAGGTCCTTGATCCACTTTGATTTGAGTTTTTTGCAGGGTGAGAGATAGGGGTCTAATTTCATTTTGTTATGTATTGATTTCCAGCTTTCCCAGCACCATTTGTTGAAGAGGCTATCTTTTCTCCAGTGTATGTTTTATATGCAATTTGCCAGTGTTTAATTAAGAATTTTTTGCATCTATGTTCATCAGGGATGTTGGTCTGAAGTTTTCTTTCCTTGATATGTCTTTGTCTAGTTTTGTTATCAGGATGATACTAGCTTCACAGAATGCGTTTAGAAGGGTTCTGTCTTTCTATTTCATGGAATAATTTGAGGAGGATTGATGTAAGTTTTTCTTTGAAGTAGAACTTGACTGAGAATCCGATTGTCTGGTCCTGGGCTTTTCTTTCTTTGTAGGTTTTTGATGGTGTCTTCAATTTCATTGCTTGAAATTGATCTGTTTTAAATTTTCTGTGTCGTCCTGATTCAATTTTTGTAGGTCATATGTCTCTAGAAATTTGTTGATGTCTTCAAGATTTTCTATTTTATTAGAGTATAAATTTTCAAAATAGTTTCTGATTATCATCTGTATTTCAGTAATGTCTGTGATATTTCATTTTTCATACAGAATTTTCATAATTTCATAGAGAAATTTCATAATTTCATAAATTGCTCTTTCTCTTCATTAGCTTGGCTAACAGTTTATCAATTTTATTTATTTTTTCAAAGAACCAATTTTATGTTTTGTCAATTTTTAAAAATTTTTAAATTTCATTGATTTCAACTCTGATTTTAATTATTTCCTGTCTCTATTGCTTTTGGTGTTGATTTGTTCTTCTTTTTCTAGGGCTTCGAGATATATGTAATGTTAGGTGTTTTGTTTGCTGATTTTCTATTCTTTTTTTATTCTTTCTGCTGACTTTCTATTCTTTTGATGAATAAGCTCAATGCAATGAATTTTCCTCTTAGCACTGCCTTCACAGTGTCCCAGAGATTTTGATAAGTTGTGTCATAATTCTCATTTACCTCTAATTGTTTTCATTTCATCTCTGATTTCTTCTGCTATCCATTGGTCATTCAATAGTGTACTATTTAGTTTCCAAGTGTTAGAATAGCTTCTGTATTTTATTTTATCATTGATTTATAATTTTATTCCATTATGATCTGATAGAATGTGAGGTATTATCGCTATTTTTTTTTTGTATTTCCTAAGAGTTGCTTTGTGACCTAAGAAATAGTCTATTTTAGAGAAGGATCTATGTACTGCTGAGAAGAAAGTGTATTTAGTCATTGATGAATGAAATATTCTATATGTGTCTGTTGAGTCTAAATTACTGTCATGCAGCATGGGTTTGCCAGGCCTGTTTTTTGGGTCAAACTCGGGTTTGCCAGGAATTGGCTCCTTCAGCTGTTGGCCCTGGTGCTGCAGCTGTAGAACTGTTTCTTCCTTTGTGCTCTGCACACTGCTGGGAAAGATGAGGTTTCTTTCCACTACAAGGCTATTGAGCAGCATGCCTTTCAGTTTAGTCGGGCAGTGTCCCCGATCTCCAAACTCCATACCCAGACACACTTCAGTTCTCCCAAAAATGCAGCTTCCTTTAATTCCTTTATTCCTCCACAGAGGGACTGTTCTGGTTGGAGCATGGCTGTGATACTGGAGATTTCTGCCTTATTTTATTATATCCAACTTCCTGAGTCCCCGATATGCTTCGAATGTCCAGTATTAAATTCTAGTAAAGTTACCCCCCATTTTTTGTTCATTCACCCACCTTGTTGAAAAGCTGCCTGTCTGATTTCTTGGTTTTATGCCACGGAGCAGCCAAGAAAGCAACCTGCTCTATTCTGCCATCTTGAAACCTCCTTTCCTACTTTTTTTTTTTTTTTTAACAAGTAAGATATATTTCACTTACCATAAAATGTGTACTGTCTGTGGTTTATGTATATTCACACAGTGTGCATAACCACTAAATCCAGAATGCTTTCCTCACCCCAAAAGAAGCTCTGTATCTTTTGCAATTCTTCCCTCTGTAAGTGCCTGGTAATCACAATATACTTATTGTCCATATGGATTTCCCTGTTCTGGGGATTTCATCTAAGTGAAATGATACAATATGTGGCCATTTATTTCTGGATTCTTATATGTAATACATTTTCAAGTTTCATCCATGGTATAAAGCATGTCTCAATACTTCATCTCTTCTCATGGCCAAATAATACTATATTGTACAGATAAACCGCATTTTGTTTATCTATTCATCAATTGATAGACATTGGGTAGTTTTCAGTTTTTGATCATTTTGAATAGTGCTTCTATGAACAATCATTTTGTATAAACATGTTTTTTCTGTTCTCTTGTGTACGTACCTAGGAGTGGAATTGCTGGTTATTTATGGTAATTCTATATATAATGTGTCTGTTGAGTCTAAATTATTTTAACTTTTCAGGAACTGCCACAATGTTTTCCAAAAGAACTGTAAGATTTTACATTCTTACCAGCAATGTATTAGAGTTCTGATTTCTTCACATTTTTGCCAATACATATTGTTTATCTTTCCGATTATAACCATTGTGGAGGGTGTGTCAGTAGTATCTCACTGTGGTTTTGATTTGCATTTCCTTAATGACTAATTAAGTTGAGCACCTTTTATATGATTATTATTAATTTATTGATCTTCTATGGATAAATGTATATTCATATCCTTTACTCATTAAATATTGGGTTGAGTTTTTATTGTTGATTTTTAAGAGTTGTTTATATAGAAATACTAAACCCTCATTAGTTCTGTGATTTGCAAATATTTTTTCCATTAACTTTCTTGCTAGTGAATTTAAGGTACAAATATTTTTACTTCTGAGGAAGTATAAGTTATTATTTTCTTTGGTTGCTTATGCTCTTGCTATCATATCTAAGAAATTGTTGCCTAATCCAATATTACAAAGATTTACTGGTTTGCATTTTTTTTTCCTCTAAAAGTTGCAGTTTTAGCTTTTACGTTTTAGTCTCTTTGGACCATTTTGACTTAATTTTTCTGTGTGGTATGAGGAAGCAGTCCAAATCAATTACTGTTACTATTATTTTTTGGTACTGGGGATTGAACTCAGAGGCAGTCAACCACTGAGCCTCATCTCCAGCCTTATTTTGTATTTTATTTTGAGGCAGGGTCTCACTGAGTTGCTTAGTGCCTCACTTTCACTGAGGCTGGCTTTGAACTTGAAATCCTCCTGCTTTGGCCTCCTAAACCACTGGGATTACAGGTGTATGCCACCGTGCCTGGCCCAAGTCAATATACAGTTGTTCTAGCACTATTTGTGCAAGTCTTTTGTTCACTGAGTGGCCTTGACACCCTTGTACATAATAATCTGGCCTGCCACCTTGAATCCCTAGAACCCTTTCTTCTGTCCTTTAGATCCTCACTTCAGTGACCCTTCCTCCATGAAATCTTCACTGTTGCCTCTTTGGAAGTGATCTCTTTTTTTCTGGATGCTTCCAGAACCTTATTCTCATTACTTCTTCCTTTTGTATTTCTTTATGTATGTCCCTATTTTCCTTCACTTGCCTATAAGCACTTTGAGAACTGAAAAATACTTTGTACTCCAAATATTATTGCACATAATAGGGAATCATAAGTATTTTGAAGATAATGAGTAAATGAATATTTTAAATGAATTTAGTCATCCTTTTTCAAGTCCTACAGATCCAAACCTTATTTTATCTTTTGCCCAAACCTGCTGGAAGCATTTCAGTTTCCTTTCTTGGTACGGTCCTCTTCTCCTTATATTTGCTGCTTTACCAGTATTTATGTGTTGTTTTACCAGTGAGATGCCTCACCAAAGAAGCATCTGCTCAGGCTTCATCTGAGTACCTGTCTTTAAGTTCTTGGTTTTAATTCCAAAGTTCTGCAAATGGCTTTCCTTTATTTATTTTTTTTTCATTTTTTAGTGTATTATCTCTATCACCTGTTATCTGTATTTCAGATAGTGAAATAAGAGATATTAGCACTACCTACCCACTCATTTTACTTTTTATCCTACATCTACTTCCTTTTTCTCAGGCTTTTCTTATTCTTATTTCTATCTATTCTTTGACAAAATTGACATCTTCACTACAAAACCCTTCTTCAGTACTTAAAAGGAAAATGATCTCTCTATCCTTTGACTTCATACCTGTTTTTATTGAAAGCACATTGCCTTCATTATTGTGAGAGAAAGGATGATGTCATATCTTTTTATATCTCCTGGAACACTGTTCTTAGCATATAAGTAGACATTAAATATGGATTTGTTAAAAGGATGAATAAGAATATTTAAAGCTTAGATTATCTCTCTAGGAACATTCAGATGACTCTTGAAATTATATTAACTACTTTAAAAAGATCCATTATCTCTCATGAAAGAAGGTACCAGTATTTTCTAATCCTGTAGCATTGAACAGTAGTTTTATAAGCTGAAAACTCAACTTGTTATCATCATGATGTAACTACATATGAAATTGCCTGATTATTCTTTTTTTGATTTCTTTTTAGTTGTAGTTGGACACAATACACTTATTTTATTTGTTTTTATGTGGTGCTGAGGATTGGACCCAGGACCTCACACATGTGAGGTGAGCGCTCTACCGCTGAGCCATAACCCCAGCCCCTGATTATTCTTTTATTACACATTTTAAACTTTGTTTTGGATCAGTCATTCTTTTAGGATGTCACATTAAGAGAAATGTAAAAATAAAATATGATTTTGTTGATTTGTACTTCATCAATTATGAAACTGAATACCATTAAATACTAATTGGGTTTAATTTGTTATAAGCACACCCTTGATTTAATCAGTTGTTCACATTATAGCTTTAAACTAACAGATATATTCCAAGGAGAACATTTAAGAGACTGGAGAGAAGTATCTCATGATAGCCAATAAAGTTAGTTCTCATATTTCTTTAAAAAGTGCTGGAATCATAGTTCCAGGAGTTAGATTTATGCCTTATAGCATCACATCAATGAGTCATTTTCTATTAGTTATGATTTAAAATTTCTTTTCCTAGGAGAAGTGAAATATTCTAGCACTTATATTTCTGAGAGTGGATAATGTCACTTAGCAATATACCTCTTTATGAAGACCTTTGGATGTCTAGAAATTACAGTTAATGCTTATTGTAAAAGGAGTAATTCATTGAGAGTATTGACTTTTAAAAGTCTTTTGTTCTTTCAAGGTGGTTTCCAGAAGTACAGAATATTTATTACCAAGGTAATAAAAAAAAGCAATTGCCAACCAGTGACAACAGTGCCAAATTGGAATCTTTTTTCAACTGTGCTGCTACACTTATGACTTTACAGCTGCAGGACCTCACTTTAGCCTCCATGCAAGATTTCACAGACTTAATTGCACAACCCCCTGTAAGTATAGTTCAGTACACTAATATGCATTTAGTAACTTACTTATTTTTTTCTTTCAGAGAGGAAAATGACAAAATATCTTTACCAGTGAAAAAAACAGAATACATGTTTAGATCTATTGTGCTTATTTGTTAGATTAAAAAGCTGATGTCAAAAAAAAGTTTGTGTCCAATTGTGAGTTCAAAGCTAGCCTCAGCAAAAGCAAGGCACTAACCAATTCAGTGAGACCCTGTCTCTAAATAAAATACAAAATCGAGCTGGGGGCGTGACTCAGTGATACAATGCCCTTGAGTTCAATTCCCAGTACCCCTCCCCCCCAAATTGGTGTCAACCCACATATTTAGGATATATGATTATTATCAGTGAAGATTAAGGGAAATAAGAAAAAATTTCCATAATTAGGATACCTGGATCATAGAGGCTGGGGAGAGCTTTCATGAGGAATGTTTTCTCTTTCTAGAAGAAGGTTTTGTTAGGTATAGTATGAACAGGGTATTGGAATTGGAATGTTTTGCCTGGGACTTATTCTTGAATGATCCTAAAGTGTGCTACTAAGCATCTTCTAGGTTTTTTTTTTTTTTCCTGGTACTTTGACCCTATAGTTAGCCTATAGGCCAAGTGGATAGTAGATACCAACAAATATAGTTTGCAATCACTCTTACTTTCTCCTGTAGAGCTCCTCCTTGGATTAACTGTCGAAGGTCAAAGAAAAAGTATGGGTGGCTTCCCATGTATTGTAATTGGAACTGGTGTGCTCTTTATCACTATATATATATATATATAGTTGTTTAGTTATGAATATTAATGTGAATATTATGTTATATATACATGTACATATATAAATTTTTATTTTTTGTAGGATTCTGTTAGAGCTTTTGAACATCCAGGTTTCATCATGAGGCTGATTCTTGAGAATGATGCCATTACATTTGAACCTGACTTTAATGACTATATAGATATCTTTGTAAATGTTTATGCTATCATGATTAAGGCTGTCAGTTTTGTGCCAAGAGTTGAGACAAAATTGTATTCTAAGTGGGTAAGTAACAAGAAACTTCTGATTGCTTTAATTTGCATAAGGTATTCACTTGAAATAACTTCTGAAAGTGTAGACAGGTACCTTTGTTTCATAGACTATGAATGGCTCAGTAACATTGGCTTATAAGGAAGCTTTGTTTAAAAACAGTTATCATTTTCCATCAACTTATCATATATATATATATATATTTTTTTTTTTTCTAGTCTACTATTCCACTAAGGGGAAGGAGTTAAAGTTGTGATTGGGTTTGAAGCAGTTGATGAGTGTTTACTGTGGGTCTCATACTGTTTGCTATAGCACTTATTCAATTCTGTAGACCTCCATTATGCTTTTCTAGCTCTGTAAAACTATCCTGTAGCTGATTACCTTTCTTATATGTTTTTTTTCCACAAATAGTGAGCTCCTCTTTGTATATTTTAAATTCATAGATCCCATCTATGATATTTCAACAGTAGTCACTGAACTTTAGTACATTAAACAACCATGCCTGAATATTTCCTAAGCTTACAAAGTTTTCCAAGGTGGCAATTCCAATCTGTAGTTTTCTTCTGCTTTTTTATTTTTAAAGTAGTTTACAAATATTTCACCCATACAAAAGAGTACAGGATATTAGTATGTAAAGGTTTACATGGTAATAAAGTTAACATCTATTTTAGCTATAGCCCATCTTGAGGGAAAGGATGATACTGAAAATTGAAAGCTCTCCCTCATTGCTCCTTCCTATTTAGATCCCTATTCTACTTTTTAGCAGAATAATCACTATCCTGACTTTTGGATTTATTATTCATAATTTTAAAAGATAAACTCTCTGTATGTCTATAAATATCTAAACAATTTTTGTTTTGATTTTTCATATCTTTGTATAAGTATGAAAAATAATCTTTTATATCATTTGTGACTTGATTTATTTCACTTAACATTATGATTGTGAAATTATGCATATTAAGGGTTTTATCTTCACTTCTGAGTTTCTAATTTTTTTTCAGGAATTCCATTTATTTTTCAAGAAGGCCTCATCATTTTTGATAATCTTTTGTGTATCATCATGTGTTCATTAAGCTTTTACTTTTCTTTATACACATTAAATATCTGTTATATTCTATACTTAATAATTGCAGATATATATGGTCTTTGCTATTCTAATTCTGCTGTTTGCTGACTCCTGTTACTAGTGTTCTTTTTCCTCTGGATATTTTTCTTTTATTATTATGGGTATGGATATATATATAATATATTTTATATATATATATATATATATATATATATATATATATATATATATATGAACTTTGTGCAGGAAAGTCTTTGAGGTTGTGGTTTAAGTTGATTCTTTGGAAGTTGCACATAGACCATGGAATTATTTTAACTAACTATAACAATAACAATTTTGTGAACAACACTGCCAATTACCAACTCTGTTTGAGAACAAGCTCAGGGTTCTAACTTCTTAAGGCAGCCATTTTTTTTCCTTCACTGAGAAATCAGGCAAAAGCAGGACATTTCTCTTCTTTTTCTCCCCTCATGCAAGGATTCTGTCACCTTTTAGTATTCTGAAGGTTGGTCTCCTCAGAACCATCATTTTATTGTGTCACCTTTCATTGTTCATCATTTTATGTGTGGGTATGAAATATGACTTCCTACCTTGGTCAGTTCTGAGAGTTTGTCACCCCACAGCTACTTGCCACCTCCTATTTCCACCTTGCTGGAGACTCAAAAGTGAAGCTTAGAGAAGGAGATCAGTGCCATTCCCAGGGCAGCTGCTCACTTCTGCAGACTGTGATCTATCTCAAGTCATGCTGTCTCCTATTGGCCCCTTAAATTTTTGTTTCCTTAGGTATATATTATAAATGATAATTTTAGTCATTTTATGGATATCTGTTTCTCATATTGTCATAGAAGTCACTCAAGAAACATAACTGTTCACTTTGTCCTTTGTGAAATTCAATTCCTTTATTACATTTTTTTTCATGTAAGACTTGAGGTAGCATATGACACACACATATACAATAAGTTACCAAGGTGAATTAATAAGTTCTAAATAGATAAAAGTAATAATTGTAATTATCCAAATGAGTATAATTACTATAATTTTATGGTTATAAAATATGACTATAATCTTCCTGATTTCTAAAAACATGAAAATGTGACAAGTTCAAGTTAGGATTAATATAATCAATTTAAACTTCTCAGGGGAGAATGATATTTTTTTCCTGGTATCAGATTTTGAGAAAAAGGTTTTTCATGGGGCATGATACCTAGGGTAATGTATGAATATTACCTGGTGATATTTTAAAAATACAAATTCAAAGGCTCACCATGACCACTACCCCTAGCCTTAGGTGATTCGTGAAATCAATCAGATTTGGAAACAAATGATAATAAAGTGTCTTGAATAAGATAATTGCACATAGTCTCAATGATCTTTGACAGCAGTTGCAAGAGTGGAATTTATGTTTCTTTTTTATCACAACTTTTGATAGGAACTGAAAATGTACTAAAAATACACTTTTTTTTTTTTCATGGAAGGCAAACCTGCAAGAAGCCAGTGCACTGAGTCCAAGCATGTAACTTTATCAAGTCTAATTTGATATGCTTTAGAGCACACGAGGTGTTTTATACAAAATATCATTTCTTCTAACTCTTGACAGGAGCTGATTAGATTTAAAAAACACTTTGTAATGTAGTTCTGAAGTCCTAGTATCCAATTATATTAAGAAAGATAAATCTATAGACTTAGACTGTCAGTAAATTTAAGAAATATTCTATAGTGAATATTAATGAGTTTCATACAAGAATAAATAATTTCACATTGCATACAGTATATCATGTGGTATAGATTGCATTATCCTAAAATTTATTTTTCAGAAAAGATGAGAACCAAGCATCTACTAAGCCCAGGGGTAAAGATAGCTGGATTCATTAATATTCTTGTGAAGCTTCACCAGTTCTAAGCAAGGTGATTTTCTGAAACGCACACTAGAGGGCATTGCAGGCAAATGCCCCAGGCTGACAGAAAATTATACAGTTCTCTTAAGGAATCCTTTGATGTGACCGTTTTGAATGTTTTAGACTATTCACACTAATTTTCATTTGTTACAGTTAAAAGTTTCTTCTTCTTGACAACAGAGCATAAATATTTTTAAGAGTTACTAAGTTCAGATAATAAACTATATCAACATAATTACTTGTCCTCATATTTGAGAAGGGAATAGAGGCAAAGTATTGAGATTTATCTGCTTATTTAAACTTCTCATCTGGTCCATTCATACCCATTGATATTCCGATTATGATAGCAGAATAAAAGTTTGCAGCTAAGGATTTTAGTATGGTCTGGTTGCTGTTCTCAGGCTCAAAGATTCAAAGTCAATGAATGAGTCAACAGTCATTCTTTGTTCTAGATAAATTTCTCCTGAAGGTCAAGAAGTTCTAGGATTAAAATGTATGATGATATGACATAGAACTAGTGAATTTTCTTTTAATAATATACAATGCAGACATAACCTTATAAAGCTAGCATGTACAATTGCACAAATAAAATGTGGATTTTTCTGTCTTTATGTTCTAAATCTTATTTTGTATAGATTTTCAAGTGACTACTCTTTGATCCATACAGAAAAACAAAATACAACTAGCTAGCCTTAAGGAAAACAAAACATTCTATGAAACCTAGATTTTAAAACCCTGCTGTGATTAGAATGAATATCTTCCTATAGAGATTAGAAAATAAAAATTAAAAAAGAAAGGCAATATTATCATAAGGTTAGTATTTTTACAAAGACAAATGGTATGGTTACTTTATTTGAAATAACTTACGTTGTCCCCACCTTTGTTTAGGAAAGTAAGTCTAAACCAACAACTTTGAAGCCCATAATTCTGGATGAAATTGTCGAAGCTCACAAAGCAAAGATTAAGGAGGTGATTATGAAAGAGAGTTTAGCACCTACTGAACACCTCAGGCTCTATGACAAATATGACTTTTTAATTACCAAACAAGCTGAGAAAGATGCTGATGATTTCCTTGCAGAGAATCATAATTATGAAAGAATAATAGAAGAAATTCGCAGATACCAAAAACTAATTGATGAAATACAGTACACATCTAGAAAGGTAAATGATTCGTTTCGTGCAACAGTTATCTGTACCCAACAATCTTTCTCCTTTTTTTATTAGCATGTAGTTTAGAACATACAGAGAAAGAATTAGAGCATTACTATCATTAGGAACAAATTTATTGAGTTTAGGATATGTGCCAATCATTGTGATAAGCCCTGGGTATTAGGCGGCAGACAGGAGAGATAACAGTTCTTGTGCTCCTGTAGTGGAGACATTATCTTGTAAGACCTTCATATAATTTAACCCTTCTTTCTCTCAATCCCATGAACTTTATCCCAATCCCATGCTTACTTCTGTCTAATAGGATAATGGTAACTTAAAATTTTCTTCTTTTGCTCTTTTTTTAAAATCAACATTCTTCTAGTTTTCTACCATGCCCCTGTAATATATTTTGTATACAGAGCAAATGGAACATTTGAAATCCTCTTTACCTATTTAGTAGTAACTCAGTCTCCAAATTGTTTTTATCTATTATTATTCTAAAAGAATTGGCTTCCAGGATAACAATTTCAAGGATGTTTATCCAGAAGATAGTTGTAAAATATAAATGAGTATTCTGAAAACCCTCTAGGTATCATATTTGAAGAAAAAACAACAACCTTATTAGATCCTACTTACAAAAATCAATTGTATGAGAATGGCAAAATATGGGAATCTCATTAATTTTCATTCCATTTCATGTTTATTAAACTTTTAATATATTTCAGAGTATTCGCTTGGGAATGTTTGAAATACACTGTGAAGAATTAATCAGAGCATTGGTAAAGCGAGCAGATAATATTTGTGGGAAACTTATAGCAAAAATGTTCACAGATCATCAGGAAGTAAATACAAGGTATTTGTGTGATATTGAATATATTTTTATTTTGGAGGGAATGTCAACAGAATAAACAATCACACAACTATAGTAGTGGACTAGTGCATTGTCATAATTGATTCAGAAGAAAAGATTGTGCCAAATGTATTTTTACTTGGCTTTAAGTATCATTTCTGGATGTGATTATTAATATTATTTCTTTTCACTACTAATGTATTCTAATTGTATAAATGAAGGTTGCATTAAATTTGTTTGCATTTCTTTTGCACATGTCATATGGATATTATCTAACATTAGATGTTCTAAATTGTATAATCAATATACAAAGTGGGTTTTCAAAGTGGATTTACACAATAGCCGTTATGGGTTCTCAGGGAATTCTCAAATTTAAAATTTCACCTTACTAATTACTCTTAAAGGGCATGACAAGTTTGTTAACTGGAAATTCATTTCTTGCCAACCCAGGATATTTTTAAGAAAGTTGACCCATTTTTTATGATTATGGTATTAGAGAAAAATAGATCATTAAAAATATTTATCTTAAGATGTACAAAAGCCTGAAGGAATTTTTTTTTCTTTCTGTTTTGTCTTTTTTGTTTGTTTGTTTTTAACTTTTCCTGTGTTAGGCATAGGATCAGACTCTATGAAGTGTGAATGCAACTGCTGGAGGAAGTTACAATGTAGAAAGGGAATAAAATACAAATTGGTAAATTACAGTAAGGTGCAGTAAGTTCTGTACAGAAGCACAGAAGTAGAACAGAGAAAGACATGATTAATATTTTTTCAGGGTGGTGTTTGGGGGTTAGGGGGATTAGGAAAGTCTGCAAAGAGGAAGCAATGTGTGAATTTCATTCTGAAGGATGAATGTGCCAGGAGAACAATGTAGGTGAAAGAATTTCAGGTAGACAAGAGAATATATAGAAGGCAGTGAGGTATGAAATGGCATGGCATACTCCAAGAATCAGGAGTGGTTTGTGATGCTTTCATAGACATTGTGAGGGCAGAGGGGTGAGGGGGGGAGGGCTAGTGAGAAAAGACCAGGACTTGATAGCTTAGCTAGCAACAAGATCATATTTTTAGCTTAAAGCACATTTTCCTCTAGAAGTAACTAGGAGAGAAGATGCCTTTTACTTACAGTGTTTCCTAGTGGGTGAAATATTTATTTTAATTTCATAGCTGCTTTCCCTGCCTCTTAATGCTCACTGAGCTCATGCCAGTTCTACTTGTTTGGTCTCATTTTCTCTTAATTACGCCAGACTCACTAGATATACAGAGGACATATCAGGAACCATGAGATAGAATAATCTAAACTTCTTGCCCCTGCATGCTTTACTCACCTCTGCGTGAAGCCCTTCGTAGCTGTCTGTCACATTCTTAGAGGGCAGAATCTGCCTTTCGAACTGTAGGTGCCACACATTGCCTCTTATCACTCTGGACCTGGAATCCCCTCTGTATCCTATAGGTCAGACCTCCTCTTTTCTGTTGATTCTTTCTCTGAAGTTTGCAAATGTGTTCACATCCTTCTTCCATCTTCTAAGCCCGACTTCAACCCAACATCTTTACCATTACTATTCTTGTCTCCTTCACCTTACAGCCAATCTTTGTGAAGAATTCTTCTGGACTTCCTTAGCTCCTGCTACTCTTTTCTTTCTTTTTACCCCCTACCCTGAAGTAAGTTCACCATTTATATTGGCCACAATCCTAATCAGTAAGAAAGATTTTCATTTTACCAGAAGTTTGTAAGCACGCAGGTCCATTATAACTGTTTTCTCCACGTGGAGTTAATCACTCCCTTTCTTTGGGCCATCTCAACTAAATTTCTGTTAGAGCCCTCAAAACTCTAGGTTGAAAATAATCATTTATAGTCCTATCTTCATAGTGGATTTTGAGCTTCTTGAGGGCCATTACTACAGCTTAGTCACTTCTGTGTCGCTGTCACTTAATATTGAAGTTGAAAATGTAATAGATGATCCCTAAATTTGTATTGGACAAATAAGCCGATGAACAAAAATTTGCACTTAATTTATTAGATGTCATATAAACTAAGTTATAATCTTTGTTATGCAGCAAAGCACTATGTAAACAGGAGTGTATTTTGAAATGAAATTTGATCATGAATTTGTAAGATTGATTTTTTTGTCTGGTGTTTCAGATTATGCGACGAATTTGAAAAAATAGCTGAGAAAGCTCTAAGCACTCCTCCAAATACAGCAGAACTAATGGAAATGAAGGTATTGTCTATATAAACACATTCTAGTTGTGCATCAGTTCATTATTGACACGATAATTCAGAGAAACAAATCATTCTAAAAGTTGAGACAGAAACTAAAAATAATATAGACTTTAAAAATGCTTAGTTCATGCATCTGCAATTTGGTGATTTAGGCTGGACTCTCTGGGGTGGTTCTTCTGGTTTTGATGGGGTCACTCATCACTCAGTTGGATTACTCACTACATTGGCTCAGTCAGCTCTCACTTGGTTTGAATAGTATAACTGTGGTTCAGAAATTTGGCTTGCTCCACTTGTCTCTCAAACTTCGGCAGGCTTACCTGGGCTTGTTCTCATAGCATGATAGACAAGCAAGCCTGATTGTCTGAGTGCTCTTCAAGTTCTCTGCTTGTATCACATAGCTAACATTCTATTGACCAAAGCAAGTCAGAATGAGAGGACATTACAGGGCCTGCTGGAGAGGTGAAATATTAGAGCAAGTAATGCAATTGTCTACCAGAATATTTTTGAGAGCACTATTAATAATTATTACCATGTTTACAGATACAAACAATAACTGTTCAAGGCAACCTCAAATGAATGGTTATCCCTCCATTTTTATCAACAAATGTTTAATTCCTCAGCAAGTATTTTATTTTGTTTTTTGTAAAATCTACATTTTATTAAATATTAAAATCTCTGTGGTAATTTTCTGAAAAATATTGTGTTTTAAGCATAGAATTTATGGCACTGAAATTATTAGATAAGTTTTAGTTTGATTGTTTTTCATGTTACTTCTGTGTTTTAAGTCTACTCACCATTTCATGTTACTTCCTTTTCATTTTGGTAGCACCAAGCTTTTACGTAGCATTGCCAACTGCTTCATTTTACAGGTCATATATTGTAACTTTATTATAATATAAATTTTAGTAGAAGATAATATACATATTGGATGATTAAGGAGTGATTTTATAGTATATTGATGGTGTGGGGTCATTTTTTAATTTTGTGGAAAGTTACTTTCTACCTCCAGCTGCCTCCACTGTTTATTATATGCTCTAAGCAGTGTGTCTTTTTTTTTTGTTGTTGTTGTTGCAGCAGTTGTGTCTGTTGAGGTGCAGTTTCACTGATGGCTATTTGACTATTAACTATCTTTCCAAGTAGATTGCAAACTTCATGAGGATGTTCTGTTCTTTATCCCTCTACATTGCCAGCACCTAGCACAGGTCTTGACATATAGTTGATTGTGCAAAATGTAATTCTGAAAGAATAAGTGAAATTACTCAGAGAGTATCTGCTCTTGTCTTCCAGCAACCCACAGCATTCCTCTGTACTTCCCCATTGCTTTTTGTATGTCGTTAAGTATTTTCTAAGTTTTTTTTTTTTTCTGCCATTTTGGTGAGGTGCTTGGAAGGGAGGGAGGAGAATTGACCTGAGCTGCAGTCCCTTAGTTTGAACCTGAAGCCTTCACCTCTAATAAGTCTGCACATACTTACGCAGTGTATTTCCATGTCTACTTTTTGACATAAGCAGTTCATTTTGTTATTTTTGTTTTCCTTCAGGCTTATATCCAGAAAGTGGAGGCGGTTGAAATGGTTGAATTGGGAAATAGATTAGTGGATTCTAAAAACTGCCTTGCCTTCCTCATTGAGTGTGCCAACTTTTCTCCGTCAGACATTAGGTTAAATAATAATGTTTTCCAGTGGTATGGAAGAATGGGAGAAATTTTTGATGAACACAGAAAAATTATTAAAGAGAAAACTGAACAGTATCAAGATGGCCTTAAGGTTGGTATTTTAATATTTTAAATTATTTTTATTTTGAATTTTAAACTTTTCATAACATTGCCAAATCTTTTATTTCACAGGTCATATATTGAGCTTTCTTACTTTATAAATCTTAGTTGAAGATAGTACACATATTGGATTTCTGCTTATTGGATATTTAACAATTGAGTACCCTATTATCAGTGTGGGGTCATTTCTTGATTTTTCAAGGGAATAGGAAGAAAACATTGGAAGATTTTACCCATAAGTGACTGTGACCATATAAGATTTTTAATGAAAAAAGAAACACTGTTAATCTTATATAGTTTATAGTACTATTTTTAGTCTTTTAAATTTTTAATTTTTTTATTGCTTGAACATCAATGCTCCATTTGGCAAAATGTCCCTTCATACCTCATAACCACTAAAACTCTCCTAAATATTGTGACCAGAGCATTTTCTTTTTGTTTTTGTTTTAATCTTTCAAATGAAGATGATTTGTGACTTACCTTTGTGTACCTATTCAGCCTTATCTCCTACCTCTCTGTACTCTTTGCTTGTGACTTTTCTGTAACCCCAAGCAACATCTAGGCTCTGCTCCTGTACATCTCTCATCTCTTGCACATTGTCTGTGTTCACTCTGGAACACACTCTGCTGCCACCATGTGCCTCTCTAACACAATTTATTTTCTGAGAATTCTCTCAGATCTCAATGCAGCTTTTCCTTTGCTCTCCTTGCATTTTTAAACCGTGTCCACCAAATGAATGATCTGATCATTATGTTACTATTTTCAGGTCTGTCTTCCATTAGATGGCCAGCATCTTGAAAGCAAGGCTGTTTCATTTTTACCTTTCCTCCTTATATCCTGTGGGCTAGCACAGTGACTGACACAGGTGTTTTTGTCCATTTTTTTTTTTTGCTGCTGTAATAGAACACCTGAAAAGAACAAAAGTTTGTCAGTGTTCTGGAGGCTGAGAAGTCCAAGTTTGAGAGACCCACGTCTGACAAAGGGCTTCTTACTGTATCATCCCATGGCAGAAGGCAAAAAGGCACTTGCATGAGAAAGAACAAAGGGATTGCTCTGGGGGCATAGGGAACCAAACTCATTTGTTTTTCAGGAAACCACTTCTGTGATAACTAACCTGTTCCCATGATAATGGTATTACCCCATTCATAGGCCAGCCCTCAGGACCTAATCACAGCTTAAAGGTTTCACCTCTCAACAGTGTTTTACTCTAGGGATCAAATTTTCAACACATGAATTTGGGGGCACATTAAATCATAACACATGCATATGGAGCACCATGAGCACTCCATAGCTACTGTCTGAATGAATGTTTAAATTTTTGTCTCATTTTATAGATGAGTAGATTAATTCCCAAAGATTGAGAGACTTTTTCCAGGTCAGACAGTTAAGATATCCTTTGATTACCAGCATAGCTGTCTTTCTGCGATGCTACTGAGAATACAGTTAATTCACAGAATATGTTACATGGAAAATTAATCCATAGACTTTAAAAATCTAAAATTATTTTAAACTGTAAAACTGTGTTTTATATTTCTGTTTCACATTTAGACCATTTCAAAAGCATTTTTTAAAATGTAAAAAATGGAACTAAGGCAGTAGCTCAGTGGCAGAGAGCTTGCCTAGCATGTGTGAGACACTGGATTCAATCCCCAGCACCACACAAAAATAAACAAAAATAAAATAAAGGCATACTGTTCCATCTACAACTAAAAACAAAAAAAAAAATAGAAAATATGAAGAGTAAATATTAGATATTTGAATTACAATATAATGGGGTCTTAGAAAATTGCTAGGTGACACAGAATTATCTATACTTTATTGTAACCTATACTATTACAAAAAACTACACGTAATGTTCATGAATTTTTCCTCTTATTTTCCTTTCTGGCTGGTCCAGACCCATAAATTTGCCAGGAGGCTAGAGAAAATAGGACAACCACCTAGAAAATCTAGATAATAGAAAAACTATTTTTAATAACCCATATTTGACTTTTGAGTATTTCATTGTTAGCTATTTTTTAGAGCCATTTCATTTAGGATGACTTACCAATGACAATTTTATAATAAGCTTTTCTCATTAAAAACACACACACAGGGCTGGGGCTGGGGCTGAGCAATAGAGCACTCATCTCTCATGTGTGAATAATGAATAAATATGAATAAAATAAAGGTATTGTGTCCATCTACAAAAAAATATTAAACACACACACAGATTTTATATCAGAAGGTTAAAATTTTTAAGTTTTTAAATCTGAACTTATTCTGTGTGTTAGAACTCCTTACAAAAATAATACAGAGTAAACTTAAATCTGGGAATTAGAGAAATCTTAGCAAATTAAGTTCAAGTTTTAAAAATCCTGCATATTTTAGATCTTAGTCATCTTCTGAATGATCTCTTTATATTTTGTCAGTAACAAAAATATAATAATAATTCTGATAACCCTTAAAAATATTTAAAATTTCTCTTGATGCCTAGGGTTTTTAACTTTTAAAAATAGTAACCGCAAATTTTTTTCTATTAGTTGCGGTGTGAACGGTTTGTGGAGGAATTGGAGAGTTATGCCAAACAGGCAGAAGAATTTTATACATTTGGAGATCTTCAGGATGTACAAAGATACCTGAAGAAGGCTCAGACACTGAATGCCAAATTGGATTTAGCAGCAGACAAGGTATAATTTAAAATTTAATTTGTTCAAATGAAAAAGAATGGCATTTGTATTGGGTATTCACCTTTAAGAAATAGATTCAGCTGGGTGCAGTGGTGCATGCCTGTAATCCCAGTGGCTCAGGAGGCTGGGGAAGGAGGATCATGAGTTCAAAGCTAGCTTCAGCAATTTATAGAGGCCCTAAGCAACTGAGCAAGACCCTGTCTCAAAATATAAAAAAAGGTTGGAGATGTGGCTCAGTGGTTCAGTGCCCTTGGGTTCAATCCCTAGTACCAAGAAATAGATTCAAATAAAACATTTTAACTATATAACCAGAGAATAATAGAAATGGTACAAATAGGTTTTACAGATGTTCTTCAAGGAAGAGCAAGATTGCTGTTTTCTATTGGTATTGATTTTTTCGTGGCCTTAATCTTTTATTTTAAGGATAGAGTCATGTCTAAGTCTGCTTCTCAGTTTTTGCTTTGCATAACTAAATATCAACATCATAATTCTATCATAAATATAGGTATTGAACCTATATTATTTTAGCAGAAGTAGGCAAATAATAATATCTGGTTACTGTTTAGGTTTTCCATCTTCATAGAAGCCTGGTTAGATTTTGCAGCTCTATTTGTATTTTTTTTAAATTGTCTAAATTGATGCATTATATTTATACATAATAGTGGGATTCATTGTGATATATGCATACATGCACATAACATAATTTGGTCAATTTCATTGCCCAAAGTACCTCCTCTTTTCCTCCCCTCTCCTTCCCCTTGTCCCTTTCCTGTTTTGTTTATGTCCCTTCTATTTTTGTGATAGTCCCTTATTATTCTTTTCTTTTATCAAGCTTCCACATATGAAAGCAAAAATAACCCCTGAATTTGGGGGTTTAGCATATTTCACTTAGCATAATGTTCTCCAGTTCAATCCATCTACCTGAAATTATATCATTTCATCCTCGTTTATGTCTGAGTAAAATTCCATCGTGTGAATGTACCATATTTCCTTTATCCATTCATCTGTTGAAGGACACCTAGACTGTTTCCATAACTTGGCTATTGTGAATTGGAATACATGTCTCACAATACTATTCTGATTTCTGTTCTTTTGGACAAATACTAGAAGTGGTATAGCTGGGTTTTAGGGTAGTTCCATTCCTAATCATTTGAGGAAGCTCTATACTGATTTCCACAGTGATTATACTAAATTTGCACTCCCACCAACAAAATATAAATTTCCCCCCACCTATTCACCAACATTTATTGTTATTTGTATTTTTGTTAATTGCAATTTTAAATTTAGTAAAATAAAATATTGTAATTTTGATTTATATTTCCATGATTGCTAAAGCTGTTGAACATTTTTTCATGTATTTGTTGGTCATTGTATTTCTTATTTTGAGACATGTCTCTTTAGTTCATTTGCCCATTTATTTATTGAGTTATTTGTTTTTGTTGTTAAGCTTTTTGAGTTCTTTATATATTCCTGGTTATTAATTCTCTGTTGGAGAAATAGCTGCCAAAAGATTTTCTCTTCTTCCATAGATTTTCTTTGCTGCGAAGAAGCTTTTTAACTCAATGCTATTTCATTTATTGATATTTGATTTTATTTCCTGAATTTTAGAAGTATTACTGAGGAAATCAATACTTAATCCTATATGTTGGAGTGGTGACCCTGTAATTTCTCTAGCAGTTGCAAAGTTTCTGGTCAAATTCTCAGGTATTTGATCCACTTTGAGTTGAGTTTTGTGCAGGGAGAAAGAAATCTTGTTTCATTCTTCTACCTATGGAAATTCGGTTTTCCCAGCACTTTTTATTAAAATGGCTGTCTTTTTTCCAATGTGTTTTTGGCACTTTGTCAAGACTCTGATGACTATATATGTGTGGATTTTTCTTCTATTCCTGTGTGTTCTATTCCTTGATCTTCACGTCTATTTTTTTATGCCAATGCCACACTGTTTTTGTTACTATAGCTCCTTAGTAGAACTTGAGATTAAGTATTGTGATATCTCCAGCATTGATCTTATTGCTCAGAACTTTGGCTATTATGAGTCTTTTATTCTTTTGTATGAATTTAAGGACCTTTATTTTCTAGTTCTGTGAAGAATGTCATTAGTATTTTGATGGGGATTGCATTGAATGTGGATAACACTTTAGGCAATATGGCTGGTTTGACAATATTAATTTTGCCTATGCAAGAACATGGGAGATCTTTACAACTTCTAATATTCTTTTCATTTTCTCTCTTCATTGTTCTGCAAATTTCATTATAGAGGTCTTTCACCTTCGAAGTTAGATTTATTCATAGGTTTTTGCTTTTTTTGAGATTATTGTAAATGGAATTGTTTTCTAGTATCTTTTTCAGTGGATTCATTATGGGTATACAGAAGGGCTATTGATTTTTGTACCTTGCAACTCTGCTGAATTTACCACCTCTAGAAATCTTCTGATGGAGTTTTTTTTTTGGGGGGGGGGGCGTCTTTAAAGTATAAGATCATATTATTTGCAATCAGTGATAATTTTACTTCTTTTCCTATTTGTATCTCTTTTATTTCTTTCCCTTGCCTAATTGCTCTGGATAGAGTTTCTACTATTACATTAAACAAGAATGATGAGAGTGGGCATCCTTGTCTTGTTCCAATTTTTCAAGGACGTGCTTTCAGTTCTTCCCCATTCACTATTGAGTTTGGGTTTTTCCTGTATATCTTTTAGGATGTTGAGATAAGTTCATTCTACCCTTAGCTTCTCAGTGTTTCTTTTGCCCCCCACCCCGTCCATTCTTTCTTTTTATTTTCATTATTTATTTATTTATTTTAATTAGGTGTAGATGACAGCAAAATGCCTTTTGGTTCATTGTACACCGTTGCAGCACACCTTTTCATATCTCTGTTTTTTGTACACGAATGTAGTGTCACACCCTATGTGCAGTCTTACATGTACCTAGGGTAATGATGTCCATCTCATTCCACTATCTTTCCTACTATCATGCACCCTCTCCACCCTTCCTCTCCTTTGCCCAATCAAAGTTCCTCCATTTTTCCCATGCCTTCCCTCTCCAAGTTTTGGATCAACATCCACTTATCAGAACATTAGGGCTTTGGTTTGGGGGACTGGCTTATTTCACTTAGCATGATAATCTCCAACTTCATCTATTTACCTGCAAATGCCATGATTTTATTCTCTTTTAATGCTAACTAATATTCCATTGTGTGTGTGTGTGTGTGTGTGTGTGTGTGTGTATATATATATATCACACTTTTTTATCCATTCATCTATTGAAGGGCTTCTAGGTTGGTTCCACAGTTTAGCTATTGTGAATTGAGCTGCTTTGAATGTTGATGTGGCTGTGCGCATTACTATAGTATGCTGATTTTAAGTCCTTTGGGACTTAAAGGAGTGGGATAGCTGGGTCAAATGGTGGTTCTATTCCAAGTTTTCTAAGGAATCTCCATACTGTTTTCCAGAGTGGTTGTACCAATTTGCATTCCCACCAGCAATGTATGTGTGAACCTTTTCCCCCATATCCTTGCCAACATTTATTGTCTGTATTCTTGATAACTGGCATGAGGAAAAATTAATATTGTCAACATGGCCATATTACCCAAAGCACTATACAGATTCAATGCAATTCCAATTAAAATCCCAACATCATTCTTTATAGAAATAGAAAAAGCATTCTCCAATTCTCCTTTTTCTACTCTATTAGACTTCTTTCACTTATCTATTAATTTATATGGGATAACTTCTTTATGTTATTCTGTCCTTTTCTCCCCCTTTCCTTTTTTTTTTAACTGTAGCTTCCACATATGAAAGAAAACATTAAAACTTTGAGTTTTTGTCTCTCTTTCTTTTGGTTAATTTTGCTAAGGGCTTATCAAACTTGTTTATCTTTTCAATGAACCAACTCTTTGTTTCATTGATCATTTGTATTATTTTTTTATTCTCTGTTTTACTAATTTTGGCTCTTAATTGTTTCCTTCTCTCTACTTCTTTTGGAATTGGTTTGTTTTTGTTTTCCCAAGATCTTGGATAACATGATAATGGCATGTATTTGGGGTCTTTTTGATTTTTAGCATTCAGAGCTATAAAGTTTCCTCTTAGAACCACTTCATGGTATACTAGAGATTCTTTTATGTGGGGTCCCTATTCTCATTTGATTCCAGGAATTTTTCATTTCTCCTTTTATTTTCTCTCTGATTCATTTAAAGTGCATTTTTAATCTCCATTTGTTTATGTAATTTCTGTTTTTTCATGCTGTTCTTTTCTAATTTCATTCTATTATGATCTGATAAGATACAAAGGAATATACAGTTTTTTAAAAAATATTTTCTAAGACTTGCTTTGTGTCCTAAAATATGGTCTGGAGAAGATTTGGAGAAGGTTCCTTGAGAAGTTGAGAAGAAAGTGTATTAAGCTGTTGTTGAATAAACTATTCTATACATGTCTCTTAGCTTCTTTTGACTCATAAAATTGTTTAGCTCTGAAGAATCTTTACTGATATTGTGTCTGAATGGCCTACCAAATGGTATAGAAGTATGTTAAAATCACCCCAATATTGTCATATTGGAGTCTTTTGAGCCTTAATGTCAAGTACTGTTTTATATAATTATATGCACCAACATTTGGGATATAAATATTTATGGTTATATTTTTTGTTGTGTTGTTCCCTTTACCAGTATGAAGTGACCTTCTTGTCTATTCTGATTAATTTTAACTTGGAGTGTGCTTTATCAGATATAAGAGTACTTATTCCTGCTTGCTTTCAGTCTCCATTTCCATGGGATATCTTTTTCCATCCTTTTACTTCAGCCTGTGGTTGTCTTTGTCTATAAAATGATTCTCTTGCAAACCACTTGTAGTTGAGTCTTATGTTTTAATTCACTCTGCCAAAATTGAGACACATTTATTATAGAGGGATGTTAATAATAAAAAAGTGTTAATTTGGTCTTAATTTACACTTGCTAAGTTACTCTTATAATAAGATTTATCCTTGCCAGAGCTCTGAAATTTGTTTTTAACTTCTGTGTTATTTCTTTAAATATTTTCTGTAGCGCTTTTGTAGAAACCAAGAAGTTTTTAGTTTATGCTTATCTTTGCAGATTTTTATTTCTCCTTTGATTCTGAAGGTGACAGCTTTGCTGGATATAGCATTCTTGGCTGGTACTTGTTATCTTCCAGGGCTTTGAATGAGACATTCCAAGGTATTACTGGATTTTAGTTCCTTATGAGAAATAGGAAGTTAAAGGTTTACTTCCAAATGCGACCTGGCATTTTTATTTTGAGGCTTTTAAAATTCCATCCTTGTCCTGTATCTTAATTAGAATATGTTGTGGAGAGGTTCTTTTTTGGGTCTTGTCTGTTTGGGGTTCTATATGCCTCTGGKATCTGGATGTCCATTTCATTCCCAAGCTTTTGACATTTTTCTGGTATTATTTCACTGAAAAGATTGTTAATGCCATTAGTCTGTACTTCAGTCCCATCTTTTTTTTTTCTTAATTGCTGACTGAGTGTTCAAGTTCATGTATATTATCTTTAAGTCCTGAAATTCTGTCTCCTATGTAGGTCTAATTTGTTGGTGAAATTTTCAACTGAATTTTTTATTTGCTTTGTCTTTCAGTTTCAAGATTTCTATTTGCTGATTTTTCAGCACCTCTTTGTATTTAAATTTTCTTTTATATTTTTATTTCATCTGAGTTATTCCTTAGATTTTTAAATTCATTGATCATTTTAATTATCAACTTTTTGTATTCTTCATCTGGGACTTTATCCACATCAACATTTGTAGATTCACTTATTGAGGGTTTGAAATCTTTAAAATCATCTTTTTGCCTATTTCCCCATGGTTTCTAAGGTCCTATTTTTGCATCTGTTGAGATGGATTCTTCTTCCTCTTTTATGTGGGGGGGGGTCCTTTGGTGAGTAGTTATCTACAATAAATCCTGAGCTGGGAGTATGTCTTATTATCCATGTATCTGAACAGCATAACCAAGTGTTAATTTCAACCTCCAATGCCTCTTTGAAACCACAAATAATAATAGTGGTATTATAAGAGCACACTTTATATTAACTTATATTAGCATATGCTGTAACCATTAGTATTAATGTTCCCTACAACTCTATTAACAAAGGAGAATCATGGGTGAGAAATAACAAATCATAGGATAAAAAGATTAAGTATTAATTGTAGTGTGCTAATTTGAACTGAAAGATGGAATAAAATAAAGAAAATAGAAGAAAAAGGAAAAAAGAAAGTAAAATGGTGGGTGAGAGAAGGGAGACAAGTTAAAATAGGGAGAGTAAAATGGATGAAGGACAAAGGATGGTGATGGAGATGGAAGAGAAGAAAAGAGGTATCAAGACAGGCTCCAGTTAATTGACAAAATACAGAGTCTTAGAACTCTGACAAAACACACATTATAGGGTGACACTAAGAATCTGTTATCAAGCAGTTAATGCAATAGTTACCATGCAGAAGTTCTGTTTCATTCTTGCTGAGATATTATTAAAAAGGGCCATTCTTTTTAGGATTTTGATTATAGAATCTTCCAACTATGAGGCAGTTTCTGTTATGCAAATATCACGCTATTCATTGTTCTCTGACCCAAGCCAGATAAACTTGTTTTAGGGGAGTCTGTATGCTGTTTCACTCACTCCTTTCCTTGCTATCTCTACTCAAGGGGAGGAGGCTTTGTCTGCCACAGAGCAGTCTGTACTCTCAAAATGGCTTCGTTATTATGTCAGGGAATAGGAGTGCAATTCTGACAGGGCTGCTGACCTATCCTTCATCTGCTCCATCTGTAGATTGATCTGGGTTGCCTTGCACCTTTCATTCCAAGAGCCCTAGGCCAAGTTCAGGGGGAATGCTAGGGGGAATGGCGGGGAAGTGGGGGTGGGGGTGGGTAGGAATGGACATTAGTCTATTCCCCCTCCCTCTTCTAAGTTTTGGGAGATCTCTGCTTTCTGCCTAACTCTAATGTGTCCCAGTTTCCCCTCCCCCATCAGCCATATTACTTATCCTAGAGATCAAACAGCCAATTTCAAATGAAATTACTCCCCATTCTCCTCTACTCTTTAGGCTGATTGGCCACTCTGAGTTTATCTCTAGTTGGAGTCCCAGCCTCCTAGGCTCAAATTAATTCATGGTCTGAGTCTACCATTCCAATGAAGAGTAGAGCCTAAATGGTTGTTTGATCTTGAGTATTCTAAATTAAGCAAGTATACCAACAACAGGGGAAAAAAGAAAAAGAAAAGAAAAGAAAAACAGAGAGCAAAAATCTCAAGGGTAAATTGAAGGGATTCCTAGTTAGCTAGTTTAGGATTAAGAGGCCCTCCAGGCTGTCACTGCTTCCCTGCTTTAGCCACCTCTGCCAGGGTTTGCTGGGTCTCTCTCCTGGAGAGTGCCAAGACTTTCTCCCACTTTAGTTCAGCTCTGTGCTACAGCACATTCATTGCTGCTGGTATCTATTGCCTCTTTTCTAGAAACCAATATTTTTGGTTTTCAACTAGTTGCTAGTTCACTGGGTTGCCTACTTGTGTTTTCCTGCTTTCTACCCCAGTTAGCTGCTACGAAACTGATGTTTTAATTCACTCTTGAAGTACTGCTGTAACATTGTTAGTTCCTCTGATCCACCATTTTTTCCTCTCTACAGCAGCATTTTTAAATTGAACCTATTATTTTCTTTCACTGAGCCACTTTATTCCTAAAACAACTATTTCAAAAACTAGCTTTCTCACTAGAAGAAACGGGGAGAAGGAAAGCCAAAGCCTTTGACATATATAACATTTAAAAATTTTAATTGTATTTTTTACAAAAAGAGGATATATGCAAACATACCATATTATGATACCCTACCATTTTTTTACATTGAAAGTTTTTAATATCTATTCAGGTAATTAAATACTTTATAAGAATCACAAATATGTAACCACCCATTGAGAAAATAGAAATAAACTCAATTTTCAAAAACTGAGGTCAGTGAAATTTTAAGTAACCTGCATAATTTATATATGTCTTGCACTTTCCAATTCTACAGATTGAACAACCCACATCTTTACCTACTTCACAAATAAACTAAGAAAATTATTTCTTTCTTTACCAAGTCTTCCTCTTCTTGTCCTTCCCACTTTTAAGACCAAGGTCTGATCACATCTTTTCTACAGAACCACTTATGAATACACTATTTCAGCATTCTCACCTCTGAGTGAAAATATTTTATATACACATACACAGACACAAACTATCCATTTTATACTGAACAGTTACTGCTTTAAAACATCTCTTCTTTTGTTTTAAATGATTATTGAACAATTGCTATTTAAGTTTCTGCCTATGCATGTCTTGTTCCCTGAGCTGGATTCCTAACCCTCTGACATTGGTAATTTGCAATATAATACTCTTCTATTTTTCGCAGTACCTAAGACAATCCTATATATATTTAAAGTATTTGAATTCCTAATAGTGAAGGAAGCTAGATCCACAATATGTCTGGGTAGGCAAAAATTTCTTTATATATGTAAATTTATTTGACTGTTTTAACTAGTGTAACCAGAATTGTCCTCTGGAAACTAGTAAAAGTGTATAGGAGAAAAATATTTAGTCTTAATAAAAGGATATTACAGCATGGTGGCGCACACCCGTAATCCCAGCTGCTTGGCTGTAAGGCAGGAGGATCACAAGTTTATAGCCAGCCTCAGCAACAGTGAGGTGCTAAGCAACTCAGTGAGACCCTTTTATTCTCTAAATAAAACACAAAAAAGGGCTGGTGATGTAGCTCAGTGTTGAGTGCCCCTGAGTTTAATCCCTGTACCTCCCCTCCCAAAAAAGGATATTATGTCATTTACAAGAGTGTAAACAGGAAGCAGAAAACAGATTACTACTCACTTTTCTAGATTATTTAAGTTTAATTTTATGGCCTAGTGAGGCTTTTTTAGTTCACATTTGAAATATTTTAAAAAATTAATATTTAATATTATTTACTTTTTTGTTTATTTTTAGTTTTGGTACTGGGAATTTAATCCAGAAGTGCTTAACCACTGAGCTACATCCCAAATCCTTTCTATTTTTGATTTGGAGACAGGGTCTTGCTAAGCTGCTTACACCCTCTCTGAGTTTCTGAGGCAGGTTTGAATTTGTAATCCTCCTGTTTCAGCCTCCCGAGTTGCTGGGATTATAGATGTGTGCCACAATGCTCTGCAATATTATTCATTTTCAGAATAGTGTATTTAATACCTGTCTTTTCAGATTGATCAATTTAATGCTGAAGAGGAGGCATTTGGCTGGTTACCATCAATATATCCTCAACGTAAAAAAATCCAAGATGGTTTAAATCCTTATCTTCGTCTGTATGAAACTGCTGTTGAATTTACCACCAAACATAGAGCATGGACAGAAGGACCATATCACAAGGTGAATCCAGATCAAGTAGAAACAGACGTTGGAAATTACTGGAGAGGACTATATAAGCTGGAGAAAACCTTCCATGATTCACCAAATGCATTGGCAATGACAAAAAAAGTAAGAGCAAGGGTGGAAGAGTTCAAACAGTACATTCCTCTCATTCAAGTGATCTGTAATCCTGGTTTGCGCCCCAGGCACTGGGAGGCCATGTCCGCAATTGTTGGCTTCCCGCTGCAGCCAGCAGATGACTCCACTGTCTTCTCCTTTTTAGACATGAATCTGGAACCATATTTAGATAGATTTGAAGGTATTAGTGAATCAGCTAGCAAAGAATATTCTCTTGAAAAGGGCATGGAGAAGATGACGAATGAATGGGATTCAATGGAATTTGTCATTCATCCTTATAGAGAGAGTGGAACATTTATTTTGTCTGCAGTCGATGAAATTCAGATGTTGTTGGATGACCATATAATTAAAACACAAACTATGCGAGGCTCTCCTTTCATTAAACCTTATGAAAAACAAATGAGGTAAAGTGATATGATATTTATACTATGTTAATAAAAGTGCTGGTAGTTAATGTGAAGTTCCTTTAAGAATTGATACTGCATTTTATACTTCCATATTTTAAATGGTTCATTGTAAGAAATGGTGAACTTTATTACTATTATTTTTTTTGAGGCATTAGGAATTGAACTCAAGGGGTGTGCTACTGCTAAGCTATATCTCCAGAGTCCCCCTTTAAAATTTTTGAGACAACATCTTGCTAAGATCGGAGGCTGGCCTCAAAGTTAGAATCTTCCTGCCTTAGTCTCTTGAGTAGCTAGTATTACAGGTGTGCACCACTGAGCTCAGCTCCTTCATTATTTTAAAAGAGTTAAGATCCTTTTGCTATCTTAATAGATTGTTAACTTCTATATTCATACCAAAGGCAGTGAACAATAACATCCATATATTTATTTTTATTTGCCTATAATTGATATTATTTTTGGATTTCCAAAAAATAATTTTTTCTCTGAACATAATTTATAAAGTACATGGACTATAAGCTGAAGATAATAATATCATTTTCCAAATATATGAATTATTTTGTCAGAGATGATCTCTGAGCATCTATTTTAATTTCTACATGAGTGAAGGATGGCTATTAAGTGCAAAAGAATGAAACTATAATTTTAATTTGAAGTTTTAAGCAGTAGACACAACCAATTACATTAAATTCTTACCCTGCCAGTGTTTTCAGTTTTGGAATTTGTATTAAGCAGGTTATGTTAACAATTTAAACAATAGATATCCAAATCAAACTACCATCTTCAATGTGAATTTTCATGGCAAGGGGAAGGTTAATTGTCTGAGAGTCTCTCTGATTATAACATGATTGTACCATGTTATGATACCATAAATTTGAGCATGCTCTGATTGGGACTGGCTCATTCTCTGTGTTTGATTGTTCTGTCTCTTACAAAAGTAGCACAATGTGCACATCAAAAGAAGAACAAACTGCTTTGAAAATTATATTCTTTTTTTTTCAGGAATTGTGCATGATATTATTAGCTAGTGAGAAATTTTCTCCATCATATAGGGTTTAGGAAAAAAGAAAAATCCCAGAAGAAAGCAAAAGGCATTCATGTCTCTTGTGAAAGAAAGTTAAATTCATTGGTAAACACTGGAAGAAAAGAATTTTAAAGGCATTTAAAAATGACTGGTTATTCAGGGAACTATGCATATTTTTTGGTAATGTGTTAATATATAAAATAAAGCTATCTGACCTCTAAGTTGTTATTATTAATAAAGTATTCCTTATTGTGGCTATGTTATCTCTGACAGCAGAGATATCTGGTTACAGCTGTCTGGGTTCAAATCTTGGTTTTATCATTTATTAGTAAGGTGAACTTCTGTCATTTATTAGGAAGGTGAACTTGAGCCTGGAACCTACCCCAATGTGCCTCAGTCTCCCCAATCATAAATATATACTATGAAGGATCCTACCTTATTGGGTTGTTGTAAGGATAGAGGAAGTACAAATAGAAATTAAAAGTGTGTTTATAAAATTGTTAAGTTTATGGGGTTTTATGATTCAGATACACTGGAGGTGTGCCTTTGGAGTTCTTATTTTATCCCTGGTGAGTGGAACTCTCTGTTTCCTTGTTCCCATTCCTTGAGCTGCCTTCCTCTGCCATGATATTCTGTCTTACCTCATGCCCAGATCCATGGAGTTGGCAATCTCTGAAACCATGGGCCCCAAATAAATTTTCTCTCCTCTAAATTGTTCTTGTTAGGTCTCTTGGTCATAGCAATGAAAAAGCTGACTAACACAGAAATTGATACTGAGTGGGACTGGTGCAGTGACTAACCTGATCATGTGCAACTGGTTTGTGGTGGGAGCAATTTGGAAAAATTTGAGATGCAAGCTGTAAAAACTTCAGAATGTTCTAAGTGGAGCGTAATGAATGATTATTGTGAGAGACAAAAGACCAGAATGTCCTAAGACTATATACAGTAAGGACTGCTCATGAGGTTTTAGAGAAGGAGTACACTAATTAGACTCGGGGTCATTCATGTTATATTGTGGCAAAGAAGTTGTCTACATTTTGCTCATATTGTGAAACTTTTTGTAAAGCTGAATTTAAAGATGATGTGCTAATTAATTAATCCCGTGGAGGAAATGTCAAGGCAGTATAGCATTCAGGTGGTGGCACAGTATTTGCAGGCAGCTTTTAGCCAAGTTTACTGTGATAACTAGGAGTAGAAAGCAAAGTGGAAAGATTTGAAAAACATGCAGTGTGGCCCAGAAAACTAAGAATAAAACAGAGCTAAGGAAGGTGTGGTTGTTAAAGGTATTGCAGCTACTAGAGAAATGCAAAGTACTCTACCCAGAAACAATAGGAAAGATAGTTTAAGGGCATCTCAGGAATTGGCACAATTATACCCATCTTAGGCTAAAGGGTATAAAAGTAAAAATTCCTTTGAGAAGAGGGCATGGGTCAACCTGCTGGCAGAGGGCGTCTAGAAGTTTTTTTACCATGCTTAGCCACCCAAGCACTCAGAAGCTACTACATCCAGGGTCCCAGGAGGACTGGCTACTGCTGGAGATGATGACAGACCTTGGCAAAAACCTTATGATACTGGTTCTTCAGGAATGAAAGATGCTGGAGTTCGAGGGTCACAGAAATTTCCACCAAGATTTCCAAGGAAGGCCTGGAAGGCCAGGCAAAATGTAGCAGAATCAGAGTCCCTGTGGTCCACCCTGGAGAAGGTGATACATGAAGATGTAAGAAGGAAGTCAAAGCTGCATTGGAGACTCTTGAGACTAAGAGTTGCCAATAATGTGGTATTTCTGCCCAGGAAAGCTGCAGGAATCAAGCAGAAACAAGTCAATAGAGAGACCATTTGGGGTTTCAATCAGCAACGACAGGGTGGAGCTGCAGAAGCCCTTTGGAGAGAATATCATAAGGTCATGTGCCCCAGATCTGGACATGGAACTACAGGACTTGTTTGCTCAGCTGGATTTCATTCTTGCTTTGGTCTCATCCCTTTTTACTATGCTCCTGTTTCTCCTTTTGGGATGGAAATGTTTATTCTGTACCATTATAGAGCAGATACATATAACTTGCTTTGATCTTTACAGGGCAAAACATCCATGAGTCCCATGAGTCGGCTTTGAGTCTCAGATGATATTTTGGACTTGGACTTTTGGGCATTGCTATAACTGTTAATACTATGGGGACTCTTGAAAATGGACTAAATTTATTTTTCATTTTGAGATGGGCATGAGGTTCTGGGGGCCATGGGCAGAATATTAATATTTATGTATGAGGCGTCCTCCCCAAAGTCAATGTATGAGACAGTATAAGAATTTTTAGAGGTGAAATGAGTGAGTTATGAGAGATTTAATCTAATCAGTGGATTAATCACTGGGGAAAGAAAGGATGTTAAAGTAAATAATGAGTCTTATATGTAACTGCATTTCCTTGGTCATTCTAAATACTTATCATTGAGTATTCTCATTGCAGAATTTGTAACTTCTAGGTATGGAATGGTATCACTGAAGTTTCTTGTAATGACATACATAAACCAACCCATTTGTAAGATAGGTATATCTTACGATATATCTTTGTAAAAGCATAAATGTTGACATTATTATTTTAAAAACATTTTGTTGGACAAATCTAGTGACTTATCTTTGAATGAAACTAGAGGAATGGAAATTGGAATAAGAACATTGCATTCAAGATTACAATCTAGTTGTGGTTTTCAGTTTTGTCACCTGATACATTGCTTGCTTTGCTCTTGATAAGAGCCACTGTGTTTTCTCCTCAGAGAATGGGAGGGCAAGCTCCTGCTGCTTCAGGAGATTCTGGATGAGTGGCTTAAGGTCCAAGCCACTTGGCTATATCTGGAGCCCATTTTCAGCTCTCCAGATATTATGTCTCAAATGCCTGAAGAAGGCAGACGATTTACAACTGTGGATAAAACATGGAGAGATATAATGAAAAGTGTCATTCAGGTGGGTAAAAATATCCTTGAAAATGGAATTATTTAGTTGAAGTGACATGATTTTTATGTTTGAATATCCATATAAGCCAGTATTGTTTCCAATAGGCTATTATCTTTTTCTCACATACATTTTCTTTTCAACTATTATTTTAGAATTCTGGGAGCAAGAACTATGAAAAGCAAAAATAGGTATTTGTCCTGATTATTCCTTGAAGTTCAAACTGAAGTTACATTACTTAATGACCTTTGGTTTTGTCTTTGGTTCTACTAAATGCTCTGTTAGAAAAACCGTGCACTCTGCAAGCTGCTCTGTCTATTCGAAGGGCTCCTGGTTATGGCCTGCAACCTACTGAAACACATTGCAACAGAATCATTTCATCATTGCTACCTACTCCATTAGCAAGTGCCTCTGATAGGGACCTAGAAAAGAATGATGAACTGCAAAGACAATAGATCTAAAGAGTCCAATAAATGCAAACAAAGTGCAATGAAGAAATAAAAATAATGCTGTGGAGGGGAACTTAACCATTTAAGTTAAGGAGGAATTTAAAAATAATCTGTAACATTGAAAAAGAAAGTCTGATTTTCATTTACTTCAGAAGACATTTCTTTCTGTATATGAAGCATGGTTTTTGTGTTACTGAAGTTAAAATAAAAGTAGAAAAATTATAGTTATATCATTAAATGAATGCAGGCCTCTGCATTGATATTTTGATTGAATATAATACTGTATGACAGAAGTACCATCATTAAATTTCCTAACCTGAAATAGAAATATGCACATATTTATTAAACTTTGAAAGTTATGTCTATAATTCTAACTACTGATTATATTTTATTGATATTAACTACATGATTTGACAAGAAAATATTCAGAAATAGTCTTACATTACTTTAATAGTTTACCTCATTTTAAGTAATGCTACTTGAACCAAACTTTTATATAGTTAATTACAATAACAGCTGATATGGATTTTTTTTTGGTGCTATATGTGGTAGTCTGTTTTTTTTTCTTTTTAAAGTTAATTAAATTGATTTTAACTGGTACATAAAAGCATAAAACCAGTACATCTATACATATCCATCTGGTACCATGTACTATTTCTGTACTTGTATACATTGTATAATATTTAAATCAAGTTAAACTATCTGTCATTTTTTATAATTAAAAACTTTAAAAATATTTTCTTCTAGAATTTTAAATATACAGTACATCATTATTATTATCCATAATGATCCTAATGCATAATAGTATTTCAGAACTTACTGTTCCTATCTAACTGTAACTGAGTATACATTTATCAACCTTTCCCCATCCCTCCCTTCCCCACTATTCTCCTCAGCCTCTGGGAACCACCATTCCACTCTCAATTTCTATGAAATCAACTTTTTTTTAGATTTTACATATAAGTGAGATCGTGTGCCTGCTTATTTCATTTAACATAATAATCTCCATTTCCATCCATGTTGTTACAAATAACAGGATTTCATCCTTTTTATGGCTGAATGGTATTCCACAGTATATATATATGCCATACTTTCTTTATACATTCATCAATTGATGGGCACCAAGGCTATTCTATTTGATTGACACTGGTTACCCTGAACCTCAAACTGCTGATCCTTTCTTGTTAGAAGCATTGATAGAGCTCTGCAGAAATATGGGCAGCACTTATAGTGGTTCTTACCTAAGGAGGAAAGAATCTAAGTTAGATATGGTCAAATGTGTTGATGTGAGTGTACTATCAGAAATCCTGGTTTCAATGAACTAGTAAAGGAGTGTAAGTGGTACTCTTTACTTGTTTTGCTCACCAAATCTGGCCTCTGCGATGGCCGATCTCAATGATATTGAAATGATAGAAGATCCTTGATATAATTTAAAGAAATTAGAGACTAGTTTACAAATATCTATGAAGAATATATGTACACCTTCCAAAAGGGGAAATTATATCCTTCTTGGGGGTGTGACCTTAAAGAAATGGAATTTTTTTCAGTGGGTTATAAATTCAATGAGACTATTATTATTATTATTATTATTATTATTACTTTTTAAACCTTGCTTAGAAAGAGAGATGACTGAGAGTATGGATCTACATTGATTATGATCATTAGCAAACTTGGTTGTACAAATCAAGGACTTAAACAAAATTAGAGAATTAGTAACAGCGAAGAGGTATATAAGGGATCACAGAATAGACTAAATGCCAATGCTTAATAAGGTACCATTGCAAAAGGGGATACTTGGTTACCTGGTTGACTAGTTGACTTATTTTGTGAATGTCAACCAGCTTATGCCAGTGTGTGTGCAGTGAGTTATAAAATAGGATAATCATGTAACAAACATATTATACAAACTAGAGAAATCTTGAGGCTTAAAGCAATTAATAATTAATTTAGAACAGCATGCATACCTAGAACTCCTTGTATCAAACTGGGATGTATGGTCACTCTAGGTAAAAACAAAGAAGACATGACAGCAGGAATGGGAATTATGGAAAGGTTTTACAATCACAGATGCCCCCTCCCATCCCCAACATTGCTGTATGCTGGAGCTGCCAACAGCAGAAATTAACAATGCTTCTGATACCACACCTGGAGGGCCCAGTCAGCCATTTAGAGGGAATTGAATACATTGGCTCTCTTTCAATAGGGAAGGAAGCAATAGTTTGCACTAGATAGATTTTTCTTTTCCATCTCCAAGCTTCTGCCAATACTTTCATTCATTTACCAACTGAATGACTTATTCCTTGTCACAGTTTCCACACAACATTGCTTCTACTTAGGAACTCATATAGGAAATGATGCAATTGACAGACCTGTGATTTACACGTCCTACTATGAGCACTGACCTTCTAAAAACTGAAATGACTCACATTGAAGTCTCATTTGCTGTGCCTGAGGGTAGAGAACAACTTATGAATCTGTGTATACTTCTAGAGAATATGTTTCTCAGTAGCTCCAAATATATGGTTTATCCCATAGGCAAAGTACATGGGTCTAGGAATTAAGGAATGAAAATGGAAGTGACAGTTCTCAACAATTCATCCAGTAAAACACACAATTTCGTTTCTTAATTTCTGCTTTGCTGGTAGAATTCCAGTATTGATTATCTTATTAGATTAAGTCATTTTAGCATCCGGGGAGAAAGAGTTCTTTGCCAAGTTTACATTAAATGAGAAATTCTTTATCTGTGCAATCCACTTTCAATCTCTCTGTTCTTTTAAATTTCCACTTCATGCTCTATTCCAGCCACGCTGGTTCCTTCTTCTTTTTTTAGTAACACATATCAAGAACATTCTTCCCTAGGGCCTTTGCACCTGCCAGCTCCTCTTCCTGGGATGTTCTGTCTCTAAATATCTACAGAACAATACCTTGCTTCCTTGAAATCTTTCTTGAGTATTACCTTTCTGAAGAGGCTCACATTGAACACCCTATTTATTGTTTTTGGCACTCTTTATCCCCTTGTCCTTTCTGAAGTATCTGCCATCTTCTAACTCAGAAATATTTTAATCTCCATTCAGATGACTGCAAAAAAGTAAATGTTGCAATAAATTGAGTCATAATTTTTTTATTTTCTAGTGCATATGAAAGTTATATTCACACTCTACTGTAACTCACTAAGTGAGTGGTAGCATGTTTTTAAAAAGAAATGTACATAACATAGGTAAAAACCACCTGTTGCTAAAAAGTGCTATTCATCATCTGAATCTTCAGTAAGTTATAATCTTTTTGCTGGTGGAGGAATTTGTGTCTATATTGATCGTGGCTGGATGATTAGGATGGTAGTTGCTAAACTTTGGGGTGGCTGTGGCAGTTTCTCAATATAAGAATGAAATGTTCCATTTCAATTAACCTTTCCTTTCACAAAATATTTCTCTATGGCATAAAATGTTGTTTGATAACGTATTAACCACAGTGAAATTGGAGTCAGATGCCTCAAACCTTACTGCTGCTTTATCAGCTAAGTTATATAATATTCTAAACCCTATGCTATTATTTCAACAGTGTTTATGGCATCTTCACCAGGAGTTGAGTCCATAGCACAATGTCACTTTCTTTGTGCACCCATTAGAAGCAATTTCTCATCTGTTAGTTTTGCATAAGATTGCAGCAGTTCCTGTACACATTCAGGCTCCACTTCTAATTCAAGTTGCTTTTCCCATTATATCTGTAGTTATTTCCTTTACTGAAGTCTTGATCTCCTCAAAGTCATCCAGGAGTGTTGGAGTCAACTTCTTCTAAGCTCCTATTTGTGTTAATATTTTTATCTGTCTTTATAAGTCATAAATGTTCTTAATGGCATCTGGAATGGTGAATCCTTTCTAATAATTTTGAATTTATTTTGCCTACATCCATCAATAGAATCCCTCCTCTATGGCAGATATAGATTTACAAAATGTATTTTTAAATACTAACACTTGAAAGCCAAAATTACTCCTTAATCCTGGGGCTGCATAAGTACATGCTGTGTTAGCAAAATGGAAAACAACATTAATCTTATTGTATATCTCCATTAGAGCCCTTGCGTGACCAGGGCATTGTCAAAGAACAGTAATATTTGTCTTTTTTTTTACTATTATAATATATTTTATTATTACAATTCAAATAATACTTCAATGAAATAAGAGTAATAATATTTTATGAGTTTGGAAAATAAGTTGCACTTTAATTCAATCACAGGCAAAGTTTTTTGTGTTTTATTCATTTATTTTCCATCTTCTTACCCTAATTTTATTTTTTAAACATATTTTTAATTTATGTATGACAGCAGAATGTGTTACAATTCTTATTACACATATAGAGCACAATTTTTCATATCTCTGGTTGTATACAAAGTATAATCACACCAATTCGGGTCTTCATACATGTACTCTGGATAATAATGATCATCACGTTCCACCATCACTTCTAACCCCATGGCCCCTCCCTTCACCTCCAGCCTCTCTGCCCTATCTAGAGTTCATCTATTCCTCCCTTGCTCCCTTTCCATCTCCCACTATGAATCAGCCT